TTCCTCTGGTATTCGGGAGTTGCATAATCTCAAGTCAAAGGAATATGTATAAGTCATGAAGAAAGCAATAGCAATAAAACATAACGATCATTATTCTAAGTTAACGGATGGGACTTGTCCATCACATCATTCTCCTAATGATGTGATCCCGTTCATCAAATGACAACTCATGTCTATGGTTAGGAAACTTAACCATCTTTGATTAACGAGCTAGTCTAGTAGAGGCTTACTAGGGACACTGTATTTTGTCTATGTATCCACATATGTATCAAGTTTCCGGTTAATACAATTCTAGCATGAATAATAAAAATTTATCATGATATAAGGAAATATAAATAACAACTTTATTATTGCCTCTAGGGAACATTTCCCTCAATAAAGTTGCTATAAAATGATTGTAAAACATCCAAGAATGATAATATAACAGCATGGAACAAGCAAAATTATAGATACGTTGGAGACTATCATTCCCTTAATTTGCAATGTAGAGTATTATTGCTATATTCCATCCTTTTAGTGGACTTCTAGTGAATTATTAGGACTTGCCAAAATTTGAACTAAAAATGTGATGTAGTTTGGTTCTGAAAATTGAAAAATAAATGAATTTATGCTCTAATATTGGTGGTTCATGAACTTCGGACAAGGAAAGTTGCAATTTTGATATGAATCGTCAACATTGCAAGGTTGGCCCCATTTTGGAAAAAAACAAAGGAAAGGAAAAAATCCTAAAATTTTGAAACACCATTGCATCCATCTTATGTGCACTAGTTTGTGGGAAAATCATAAATTTACAATACAACGGTTTTGAAAAAAAAATACACAAAATGCCCTATCTAGTATAAACTTGCAAGGATTTGAAGGCATATGGCCATGGCCACATCCATGGCATAGTCCATGATAGCAGGCCCAAATTTAGCATAACTATGGGTATTACCATTATGAACAATGTTTCCATAGGAATTATGAATCTTCTTTAATACATAATAGTTTACCATTTCCCAAGTCCGAGAAATTACTCTTTTATGAAGGAAGTGCCTCAAATAATTTTTAAATTGGTACCTTGCATTTTTCATCAAAAGTAGGCCACACAGGATGCCCACTGACCAAATATTAGGACTTGCCCAAATTTGAACTACGAGTGTGATGTAGTTTTGTCCTAAAAGTGACAAAAATCATTTTATGCTCTAATGTTGGGGATGCATGAACTTGGGACCACCAAAGTTGAAATTGCTAATCATTTGGTGTGAATGGTCGACATTGCAACTTTGACTCCATTTTGGAAAAAAAACATAGAAGAAAATGGAAAAGCCTAAAAAATTGAAATGCCTTTGTATTGAGCCATCTTATGTGCACTAGTTTGTGGAAAAATCGTAAACTTGCAATACAACAAGGTTGAAAAAAACCTTCATAAAATGGCCTATCTAGCATGAACTTGCAAGGATTTAAGGCATATGCCCATGGCCATGGCGACATCCATGACATAGTACATGATAACATGCCCAAATTTGGCACAACTATGGGTATTACCATTGTGAACAGTGTCTCCATAGAAATTATGAATCTTTTGTGAATAAAAAATAGTTTTCCATTTTCAAGTCCCAGAAATGACCTTTTTGTGAACGAAGTGCCCCAAATAATTGTGAAAATTGAGCCCTTTCATTTTTAATCAAAAGTGCCACATAGGATGCCCACTAACCAAGTTTAAATAATTTTAGAGTATTATTGCTATATTCCAACCATTTTGTGGACTTCTAGTGAATTATCAGAACTTGCCCAAATTTAAACTACAAGTGTGATGTAGTTTTATCATGAAAATTGACAGAAATCATTTTATGCTCTAATGTTGGGGCCGCATGAACTTGTGACAACCAAAGTTAAAATTGCTAGTCATTCGGTATGAATGGTCAACATTACAAGTTTGACCTCATTTTTGGAAAAAACAAAGAAAATGAAAAAGGCCTAAAAATTGAAATGCATTTGCATTGAGCCATTTTATGTCGACTGGTTTGTGAAAAAAATCATAAATTTGCAATACAACAAGGGTGAACAAAAACCTTCAAATGGCCTATCTAGTATGAACTTGTAAGGATTTAAGGCATATGCACATGGCCATGGCGACATCTATCGCATAGTCCATGATAACATGCCCAAATTTGGCACAACTATGGGTAATACCATTTTGAACAATGTTCGCATAGAAATTATGAATATTTTGTGAATAAAAAATAATTTTCCATTCTCCAAGTCCCAGAAATGACTTTTTTGTGAAGCAAGGTGCCTCAAATAATTGTGAAAATTGGGCCCTTACATTTTTAATCAAAAGTAGGCAAAATAGGATGCTCACTGACCAAGTTTCTATAATTTTCAAATATTATTGCTATATTCCTTACGTTTAGTGGACTTCTACTAAATTATCAAAACTTACCTAAATTTGAACTACAAGTCTGATGTAGTTTGGTCCTGAAAATTGAGAAAAATCATTTTATGCTCTAATGTTTGTGGTGCATGAACTTGGGACAACCAAAGTTGAAATTCCGAGCCATTTGGTATGAATGATCAACATTGCAAGTTTGATCCCATTTTGGAAAAATATCAAAGAAAATGAATAAAGCGAAAAAATTGAAATGCCTTTGCATTGAGCCATCTTATGTGCACTAGTTTGTGGGAAAATCATAAAGCCACTTTTGGACAGTTTGTGTGAAAAATTGGCACTGTTTGATTGAAAAAACCCAATTATTTTAACAAAATTGATGAAATATGGGTCATCACTTGTCATATACATGCAAATAGGGCCAAATTTGGACATTCAAACATGCAAATATCACAAGTTTCATAAAGTTTATAATGTTTACAGACACAAACCCTAAATATAGCTACTAACAAAATAAGTGTAGTTCATAAACCTAATCTACTCACCGTCGTCGTCCACGTCCGAGCTGCTGCTAGCGCTGGAGGAGTGGTCCTCCTCCTCCTGCTGCTGCTTGCCATCATCATCATCCTTGCTCCCGAGGTCGATGGTGACGTAGGCCACCGTGGTGACAATCGCATGTCGAAGCCCCGACGTGTCAACCGGGTCATCGAGATGGTGCTGCGGCCCCTTCGTCGATTCACGTAGTGCCCTTAGGAGCCCTGGCAGGTCTGCAGGGTCTTCAGGCTCACTAACCACCGCCCCCTTATACTCCGCCAGCAGCGGTGGCTCCGGCTCTAGCTTCGGCATGAGCAGGGGACCGCCAAAGCCCGTCAAAGGCTCGGGATTGGGTACAATCAGGGGGGCATGCGAAACTCGTCCCCTGCTCAAGCTTTGGGACTAGCAGGGGGCGCTGCGGGAGCTCATCCCTGGCTCCGGCTTTGGGATGAGCAAGTCACCGCCGCGCACTAAAGAGCTCGTCCCCAGCATCCCATCTCCTGCTTAGGAACGCGGAGGCGCCCTTATCTGATGGCACCACCGCCCCCACTGTAGACTTGGGCGTGGATCACGACAGCGAAACCTGGTCGTCCTCGTCCAAGCCGAGCTGCGTGCGACACACGACTATGACATCGGCGAAGGTACGCCCTTCCTAGAAGGCGTACCTCTTATCGATGTTGCCCGACGCCGAGTAGTGCTGGATGCGGGCGGTGCTGTCCTCCACGAGGATCTGCTGCCACCGCTGGCTACTGGAGCATAGTCTAGATTGGACCGCTTCACCGGCAGTAGGCTTTGCCGAAACGCACGTATTGTGCATGACATGGCCATCGTGCCGACGGTGGGGACAGGCTCCATCGTGAGCCCACCGATGCTCACGTGTCATTCGTCCTGCAAGCGGGTGTCCGACGGCACCATGACGCCACAGTGGGCGAGCAGCGAGGCTTCCTTGACCCGGAGGGTGCGTGGCATGCCGGGAATGCACAACGCATGGTGTCGTCCCCAACTACTGCTTCTCGCCCCACCATCGTGGCTGGCCATGGCTGCGACTGCAAAAGGGGAGGTGGCTAGGGTTTGGTCAATGCGCACGGTGGAGAAGGCTGTGGGCGGTGAGGGGAGGGGAGGGGATTGGACAGGAGTGTGTGCAAGCCGGTGCGCGACTATAAAAATCCATTAATAGACACCTGACGGGCACACAGCCGATGCGACTCCCAGTATGGGACACCGCGCGGTGCGTACTCCCTGTGTCTGAAAGCACCGACATGACCACGATGTGACTACTCATGCATCTGGGCACATACACGACCGATTATGAGAACACCATGTGGCATAGTGTATCCCATACATCAGTAACAGCGACGGTAACAGTCAACTCCCTTGACCAACGACAAATCCCCATTTGGCATTGGTGAGGGTTGGTGGCGTGATGGAGGGGAAAAGTGAGCAAAAGTTGTGGCTTGGGCAAAATTGAGCACAACTAAGCAATGAGGGGAACAGAAAAAAACATTCTTTTATGTGGTTACAATATCATTATATATTGTTCTGGTTTGGTGACACTCATAGTTTGTTCTGATCATCATTTGGTTCAATTCTTCTATGCTGGCTGAAAGCCTATTAAAAAAAGGTGTGACTAAATCGAGTGTATATGTTGTCCTACTCAGGAATCATGCCATTTTGTACACCTTTGGTTATTCTCTCAAATGGGTATTAGGTTGCATCTCAACTATACGTTCTTTCTATTCTTTGTTAGCGATGCATTCTAATGAGGCAATAATACACAATTTTTCTTTGGATTTTATAGGAAACTGGCTTATCATATCATTCCATAAAAGGTTCAAAAAAACATATATTTAAAACTGCAAATTTTATAAAAAGTTCTCATATCACTATTTCTCACTATAAATCTTATTCATATTCAATACTATAAATTCCTGCAGCAATCTGTGGGGTATCATATAGTTTTACAAACGAGGACGAAGAATGGCATGTGGAGCAGGCAAGGCACATCCCGTTTAGGAGCCCGCCGCTTCCTTGGTGTAGGTACAAACATTGTTGGCTCGGGACTTGGCACAAAAGTAGACATCAAAGTTGAACTCCATTACAGAAACGCTGTGACAACCCCCACCGGATTCATAGTGGTGACTGCGTAGCTCACCCTCGCTACGATGAATGCGGCTTTGCAGACACGCTTGAACTTGCCGGACCTCCTCCTGGGCCTGTTCTGCGGCGGGGAGTAGTTCGCCTCCATCAAGCAAGCCACGTGGATGTGCACAAGCTGGCCGTCGTCACGCTGGAATCGGTATGACAAGTACCGGCCGCGCTTCCCATCCTTCCCGCACAACTCGCAGTTATGGCCGGCGGCGTTGTGGAGTTCCAGCATGACGCCGTCGTCCTCCCCCATGCTCGTGCGCTTCGGCAGGATTGCGCAGAAAGGGTGGAGGTCGATATCGTGCACGCCGTTGTGGTACAGGAAGCCGCGCACCGGGTCCCCGCAGACGTCGCACAGCGGAATAATACCGCCTGCATGGGTCGCCGTCGCGGGACGGCTGTTGAAGAAGGTGAGCGCACGGCCCTCCAACATCGAGGGCTCGATGCGCGCCGGCGCTTGGGCGCAGCATACATGGAGGTCGAAGTCGCATTGCTCGCACCGGAGTCTGAGCTCGTCGCCGAGCTGCTTGCAGCCGTCGCACCGGAACAGCTTCTCCGTGTCTACCGGCTTAAGTGCGTGCTGATGGGTGGAGTGGGAAAACAGTGCCCGAACGTCATCTCCGGTGAATGTAACCATGCTACTTCTAGCTGCTTCTTCTTTTTTTGTTTTTGCGAGAACTACTCCAAGGTTCCCAACTCCGGCGAACTTTCTCTAGCTGCTTTTCGTCTTGCTCGTTCTCTCTATTTATCAGCAAAGCAAGGGTACAATAACGTGTATGTGCAGTACAACCAGGGGTGGACTTGACTCTAGCTAGTCAGTCTCCTCCTCTCGTGCTTCCTGGAAATGTGCCGGGCCTTGTCTAAAACAGAAAATTCTAGCAAGGACCGCAAGTGGACTGGCACAAGTTGTGTTGGAATAAGTGAGCCGTCGTATTCACCCGGAAAAAAAAGGTGAGCCATCGTATTGTTGAAATTTTCCACGACGACTTCATCGTCTTCTTTCGTTGGTTAATTGGAGGGATCTAAAAAAAAGTTATGCTTGAAATGTTGCTCCTAGTGTCAATAATTCTACATTTTCCTACATGTAAGTGGACAATTGGACATATTTTTTTTCAAAGAGGTCACGCTGGGCACATATACACGCATGTTCACCGTATAGGAAAGGTCCAACTTGGGTTTCCTTTTAGCCTCAACATACATCACAACTCCCACCACGCTTATGCACCTAACTGGACCAACAACCTGTAACACTGAATGGCCAGTTGCGCCAAATGGCACAAAATCCCATTTAAAACCATGAGTGCTTTAAAAATATTTACATTTGGGAAGCACTTACAGTAAATTTTCAAACCCTTTTATATAATAAGTTAAGAAAGGACCGTCTTTCAAAATATATACTTCAACCCACATAATTTCTTATGTTATTCACATAACATGGAGGCATAACTTTTTTTGTTCAGAACTATATGCAAATATTTGCTTTACGTAAGAATGCGAGAGATTAGATTATCAGTTGGTGCAAATAGTTGAGCGTGCAATCAGAAGGTTCGAGTAGCTGTAAACTTGCGCTCAAAAAGAGTAGTTGTAAACATAGGCGACACAATAAAATGTACACCCTCCGTAAACAAATATAAGACGTTTCAAAGACTTGACAAGTCTCTAAAATGTCTTTTGTTTGTTTACAGAGGTTGTGTTCAATGCATGATGAACATTGTGCACAGGAGAAGTTGTTGTAAATAGTGGTCAATTACATCATATAATTTGGTTCTATACAACAAGAAGTTTTCCTCTTTTGTGTACATATCCTAAAGACCACCCCCTTGTGTATGAACTCTTTGTCCTTTGAATCGAACGACATAGCCCTTGCCCTTTGTGGCAAAAGAAAATACTCTGCAATACGAATCGATGTCAAGATAAAAATATCATGTGAGCATCTTGATGACCCACAAGTATAGGAGATCGCAACGTTCTTAGAGGGTAGTATTTCACCCAAATTTATTGATTTGACACAAGAGAAGCCAAAGAATATTTATAAGCCTTAGCAGTTGACTCGTCAATTCAACCACAACTGCGAGATAACTTTTCTAGCAGCAATTTATTAGTAGCACCGTAATATGATAGCAGTAGTGATAAAATAACAGTAGTAGTAGCAATAGTAATAAGTTTGTAGCAACTAGAGCAGGAGTAACTTTAGCAAAGACAATACCAGTAAAGCGTAGGGATGGAGCGGCGATGGCAATCGGATGAGATTCAATATTTAATTGTCACAACCTAGAATGATACACCATAGCTCCAATTCATCAATCATATATAGGCATGTATTCTGTATATAGTCATACGTGCTTGCGATAAGAACTTGCATGACATCTTTTGTCCTACCCTTCCATGGCAGCGGGGTCCTAATGAAAACTAAGGGTAATTAAGTTGTTCATTTTAATAGAGAACCGTAGTGAATACATGAACTCCTCAAGTTAAAGTCATCTCCCTGGATATCCCAAATCAGTGTCACCTTGGGGGTCTAAGGTTCAGAATGCTAACATGTGCATAAAACTTACAAATATGATCAAGAACACAAATATATTCATGAAAACATAACATGTTCAGATCTTAAATCATGGCACTGGGGCCCAAGTGACAAGCATTAAGCATAGAAAAGTTATCGCAACATCAAGCTCGAAACATAGTGGATACCAGGGATCAAGCCTAACAAATTGACATGATTACATATCACATTTCATCCAACTCCCATCTACCTCCAGGTGGTATTAAACTTCATCTGATAATTATCTGATTAGCTACTTAGTTTTTGCTTTTTTCACTTTAATTTTTATCTCATGGAGGATGTGGGAATCTTCATTAATTGACTTGTATGAAATGTTCTAGAGATCATGTCTTAGCAAAAAGAGGGCAAAGTTAATTGTGAAACAAAATGCAGTAGGAATAGATTAAAAAGGATGCAAATTTGAAGAACTAATAATGTGTGCTTACATCAAAGGCCCATTTTGCTTTTCTGTAGGACAGCTGAGCATAAAAAGTTGCTCCTCCTGTGTATATACATGAAAAACAAAAAATTTCCTATTAAACACCCAAGATCTATTCTATAGAGATGTCGGCACTGAGAGGGGAGAGTGTCTACATACCCTTGTAGACCAAAAGCGTTAACGATCTAATGATCATGGTTGGCGTAGTCGCACTCGCGTCGCGATCCAATCTGATCCAAGCACCGCGCGAGCGGCACATTCGAGATATGCACACGTACGGCTCAATAACGTCTCCTCCTTGATCTAGAAAGCGAGAGAGAATAGGTAGATGGGATCTGAAATAGCATGACGGTGTGGTGATGGTGGTGACAACAGAATTCTGGCAGGGCTTCACCAAGCACTAAACGAAGGTTGAGGAGGAGATGGGAGAGAGAGAGGCAACAGTCAGCAATGGGATGGCTGCCCCTTGTGCCTCCCCTCTCTTAGTATATGCTAGGGGACAGGGGGCGCCCAAAACCATCCTAGGGCCGGCCACAAGGGAGAAATCCCTTTAAATTTAGAGATAAGATCTTATCTCTAGATTTAACACTTTAAATTTAGAGATAAGATCTTATCTCTAGATTTAGAAGACATGGGCCTTGGGGCTAGTGCGGCCAGCCCATGTGGGCTGTTGCCCCACCCCGTGGTCCATATGGGCCCCTCCTGGGTTGTTGGGCCCCATTATGGAACACCTAGAACCTTCCCGGTACTCTACGGAAAGTTTCTGAACTTTTCTGGAACCCTAAAAAAATACTTTCCATATATAAATCTTACCTTTGAACCATTCTGGAGCTCCTCGTGATGTCTCGGATCTCATCCAACACTCTGAATAATATTCGGTATCACCATTATGAATATCTCAATACTACCCTAGTGTTACTGCATATTAAGTGTGTGACCCTACGGGTTCGAGAACATTCAGACATGACCGAGACACGTCTCCAATCAAGAATCAATAGCGGGACCTGGATGCCCATAACGACTCCCGCATATTCAACAAAGATCTTTGTCGATTTGAACCACAATGTCGAGGATTCAGATAATCCCGTATACAATTCCCTTTGTCTGGCGATATGTTACTTCCCCGAGACTCGATCGTCGCTATCGCCATACCTAGTTCAATCTCGTTACCGGCAAGTCTCTTTATTTGTTCTGTAATACAAGATCCCCGTGACTAAACTCATTAATCACATGCTTGCAAGCTATTCATGATGTTGTATTACCGAGAGGGCCCAGAGATATATCTCCGTCACACGGAGTGAAAAATCCCAGCCTCGATCCATGCAACCCAACAAACACTTTCCAAGATACCTGTAGAGCACCTTTATGATCATCTAGTTACGAAGTGACGTTCGATAACCATAAAGTATTCTTCCGGTATTCAGGAGCGACACGATCTCATGGTCTAAGGAACAGATACTTGACATGAAAAAAGCTTTAGCAATTGAACTAAGTGATACGATCTGATGTTAAGCTTACGATTGGGTCTGTCCATAACATCATTGTCCTAATGATGTGATCCCGTTATTAAATGAGAACTCATGTCTATGGTTAGGAAACCTTAACCATGTTTAATCAACGAGCTAGTCTAGTAGAGGCTTACTAGGGACACGGTGCCTGTTTATGTATCCACACATGTATTTAAATTCCGATCAATGCAATTCTAGCATGGATAATAAACATTTAACAAGAACAAGGAAATATGATATATATTAACAACTTTAGTATTTTCTCTAGGGCATATTTCCAACATATGTACATCCCTGATTGGAATGAAATTGATCGTGTTGCACCTTCAAATCTCTCTCTCTCACTCACTCACTCACTCACTCACTCACTCTCTACACGTGGGGGACGAGATTGTGTGGGTAAGAAAAAATGGTTGTGTGAGTCTCTCTGGTCTCATGCGAGTGTGCATGAAGTGTTGGAAATATGAGCAATTTATAGAATGATTTTATTAACAGAAATACTAGCTAAAGCACGCTAATATAGCAGTGATAACACAAGTCAAGTGATTCGACAGAGAGAAGGTAAATAGCATCTGCATATATGCAGTTGAACCGGACACATCTAGAACAGACACTAGAGCAAGAAGTTGTGACAGAACCTCGAACAGGAAGAGTATTAGAACGTACGGAACGAGAGCAGATGCACCGGTCTTAGGGTCGGTGTCCTCGCCAGCCATGTCGTCGAGGAGGTTGTCGACGTCGGGAAAGAAGTCGTCGTCAGGGAAGTAGTCGACGGAGTCCGGGGCGTCCGTGACGAAGAAGTCAGTAGTCGCGCTGAGCGCTCCCCAAAAACCTTATCACCCTTCTCCCGTACAGGACTCAAAAAGGTGCGGTTTCGGAGGCCTACTATCCCGACCCGCGGTGCACGCCGCAAGCCAGGATGGGGAAGATTGTAGCAGCAGCGCAGTGCTCAGGAACTTTGTGGCGAGAGGAAGAGGACCTTCTGATGTGTCTCTCTGAAGAGGAGCGACTTCTCTTATATAGGCATAGGAGAGGGACGCGAACAGGCTACAACGGGAGGTGAAGCAACGGAGGGAGACAAAGGGAATAGGCAGCACGACGTTTCAGCTCCTGTTTGACTATTCGTATACCCATCGTGCGTGGAAAAA